TCAATTTTAAGATTGATTTACTTACTTCTCTTAGTTGCACAACTTCTTGGCCTAGATATTGGACCTCATTGTTAATTTCTTCCATAATTATAGGAATAATACTTCTATGGTTGATGTTGATAATATATAAAATTTCCATCCTAAGAATATTGATAAGCCTATAAATATTTATAATGGTTACAAATCTATTATCACTTTTACTAATTGTAGCATTTATACTTTTTTCTTTGATTTCTTTAATAAAAAATTTTAACAAATCTAGAAGTTTAATTAAAAGAAGATAATCTACAACCTCTAATATTAAATAAAATTTTCTACAAAGAGATATATTCTATTCTTCTTAAAAAAAGAATCAATATTAAAAAATAAAAAAATATTAATTTAAAGATAGATACTTCACCATCTTTAAAGCACAACAAAAGAAGTGAAATAATTTATTAATTTTTATAAATAAATAAAAATAAAAATTAGTATTCTTGCCAAAATATCAAGAACATGAATCACAAAGAATCAAAGGATAAATACACTCTTGTTTCATTAAAAAAGAATAGATAATAACTCAAAGGTGGTACAATATTAAGACTAAAATGGCTATTGCCAAAGACAAGAAGACAAGAGATTCTTAAAATAAGATTAAGAAAAAGAAAGGCATTGATAAGAGTGAAAAAGGCCTCACTCTTGCATCCATATATACTATTTAACTACAAGATATATAGTAATGTTCTGTGGGATCTCTAACACATGTCCAACTTATGGAACACATATCTGACTTACAAGATAAAATTTATATATATATGCCACAAAGCCTACTTGTATCATAAGTCGCCAATATGCATAACATGTGATCAACTTGTTGGCCAAGTTTCAACCTATCTATCACCAAAAAACACATATAAAGTGAAATTTGTATCTAAAAAGTTTTTAAAAAGCTATTCTACAAGATATCATCAAATTTACTTATTTCTATTTACTACTTTAATTTACATAAATATATTTGTTTGTGATACAAATTAGCTAAATATTAGACATGTTGACTACTTGTAATATAGGTTGACTATATATTACACATGTTGGCCACTTGTGATACAAATTGGCCATATAGAGCATATATAAGAAACTTGCATAGCAAATTAGATATGTACCTTATAAGTTGGATATGTATTGGAGGTCTTATAGAACATTGTCACATAGCCCTTAATTAAATAATATATATAGAAGCAAGCATAAGGCCTTTCTTACTCTTATCAATTCTTTTCTTACTTCTAGTTTAATTTCAAGAGTCTTTAATTTTTCTAATCTTTAATAATATTCATTTTTTTTAAAAAAAATCATCTTTTTTTTAGCATATCTCACTTCTTTATTTACAATCTTTGAATTATTATCTTTAATACTTATTTTTGAATTGATATAATTTCAAAAATAGCCAAAATTTAGGTCCTATTTTTAAAAGATTCAAATTCTTATTAAGATATATATTAAGATATATATTAAGATCCTAACATAGATAGTTAAAATTCTCATTTGAAAAAAATTATATTAAAAAATTATTATTATTAATATTTTATTTATTATTTAAGTAAAATTATTTTTTTGTAATTAAAAAAATTGAAATTTTAAATAAAGTTTTAAAGATTTGGTCTTTGAACTTAATTCTTATAGAAAAAAATTAATTATGACACTCATTTTTATTATTATTAACTATAATTATCTTCTTTTGGCTTTAAAGTAATAAATCTCTAAACTTTTCTAAAAATTTGCTTGAAAGTTTATCTATTAGTATTACTTTGAAAAAATTTGTTCTATTAAGTATATTTAGTTTTAAGGTTTAAGATTCAAGATTTCATTAAGATTTGTATGATTTATTTGCATACTTCTTTCCTTTAACATCAAATTTATGTATTTCCTTTCTAAGAAAATTATATCACTTACTAGTGCCACTAATTCCATCAATTTTTAGAGGAGCAACTTAAATTAGTTTCTCCCCTAACCACTAAAATTATAATCCTAACTTAGATCCAGTGATCAGTGGATGTTCAAACCTGATTACACAACCACAGTCGAATTTTCCTAATTTTCCTAAGTATCCGTGAAGAAGAGGTTATGAATCAAAACGGGTGTGCAGCAAAATGTGCCCAATACGTACGAAGAATAACTAGTGGAAGCCCTAGCGGAGCACAGTGGGGATACGCCATTGCCTGAGATGTCATTCAATATTGAGTAGGTCAATTTTTCAAAGCAATCATCAAGTTAGAACTTGCTCTGGAATTACCGACAACATCTAGAAAACTACGTTGAAAGTTTCCGAAGCACAGAAGATGAGTTACTCGGTCCTCGACGCCGTGACGACAGATCTTGCAAACCACAAACAGGGCCAAATACAATACAGATACAGCTTCAGATCAACACATGCACAAGGAATGGATCCACAGCAGCCTCTCCTTACCCAATCTAATCGACCCATTGTCACAGAATTGCCGTCATCATGCGAATAGTCATGTGAGTTTTATGCTGTGGGATGCAGATGTTCTCAAGTGGGCAAAAGAGACAGGTACTACTAAACCCTTCGACGAAGAACAATGGGAGAAACACTTTGCGACTTTTTTGTTTGTTTGCTGAGAAGCATCTCTTGAGTGTTGCATTTGACATCCTCTCATTTTTAATATAGTTATTAAATATATTTAATATCTTTCTAAAAAAATAGATATAAATATATATATATATATATATATATGTATATATATATATATATATATATATATGTATATATATATATATATATATATATATATAAGATTTTTTTTATCTGCAAATAACATAGTTAATAAAAATTTATCATATATTAATTGTATCTCTATTTGAATCTTATATTAAATTCAACGTACCAAGAAGAAAGAAATTACCATTAATATGCAATTAGATAAATTTTCTTTATTTAGTAATTAAACCAAGTATTTAATAATCCAATTTTTTAGAAGTTCAATTACTTTTAATATAACAATAGATTAAACACGCATTCTCACCAACTTTGAATATAACTATTTTTTTTTTTTTTTGAACACCCCTATTAGTTTTTTTGTCGTTCTTAAGCTTTAATATAGTTGTATCTTCATTGTAGTCTAAAGTTCTACTATTCTATAATCAAATTGTTTGCAATTGGTCTTTTAACTTAAAAATAAATAAAAATAATTAAAAATAAAACTCTTTTTTATAAAAGAATATAATATTTTATTATATAAATTATTCATTAATAACAAGAGAGTTGTTCAATTTTCTAAACAATGGTTGATAATGCATTATAAATATTAATCTAAATCTTGTCATATGTTTTGTTTGTTTATTATTTTAAACATGAAAAATTAAAGATAACATAACATAAAACATTTAATTTGTTAAAAAGTGTCTTCTAAAATCTTAATATAAATTATAATTTTCAATCAAATATAATATTATTTAGCTCTCCATAATATTAATTGATTTTATCTAAAAACAAAATGGTTTTATTTTTATGAATAAATTCTGTATAAAATAAAAAAATATGCTATTTTAGTTAAAAGAACTATTATCTCAAAATATAGTTGTAGAAATTTAAGATTAAAAGATCCATCAAAAAGATTAATTAAATGCTTTGATAACTTATTATATTTGAAGCTACTAAAAATATCTTATCATAAACTCCAAAGTTTTGTTGTATCTAAAATGTCTTAATGCTAGAAAGTCATGTCATGCTTGAAAACTATTTATAGTGTTTGACTTTTTAGAATATACAAACATTTTTCATGATAAAGAAAATTCTCTTTGAAATTAAAATTTTAAAGTCATCTTATAGCTTTGTTGATTGATAAAATATTTTCAATTTTCAATTATAGTGCCTAATTTGGATAACTAGTTTTTCATTAGCTTATTAGCAGGTTGTTAGGCAATTAATTCTTGCCAAATAGCTTGGTAAGAATTAAATTTAGTTATTGTAATTTGAATTCTATGTAATTGGAAAAATCCCAATAAGAAGATCTAGTTTAGTCAAGGAGATGTGACTCACACGGATTGGAAGTCATTGAATGATTATATCTTCTTATAATTTTAATCTTTCTTGTATTTGGATTTGTACTTGAAGTCCATAAAAAGTTTATGCAATTTGCCAAGAATGCAATATTAAGGCCAATTGGTTTGTGTCCCTAAAATTGATAATAATTGTGGTGATTCTAGAGAAGAAAGTATTACAAGATTGAGAATAAGCAATCATCCAATTGGTTGTATTGAAGAAAATATAATTCATTTTTTGAATTGATTAGTCTCTCGAAGAACGAACAAGTCTTATTTTAAAACAAACATTGAAGTAGATTCAATTGATTTATTATTGCAACATGAGATTTTTGATTGTAAGAAAGTATAGACTACTTGATAAAATTGTAGTGATTACTATGCAATCTATTTATTATTAGGTTTAAATTAAGTGATTTAATGTTAATAATTTAAAGAACCCCATACCATTTACTTAACATAATTTATACTACTAATATTTGATTCTATTTCTATGAAGTTTACACCAAGTGGCATAATTTGAAAAATAACTATGCTTCAAAAATCAATACATTTGTTGTTAACTTAATTCTATTCGAATGAAATATTTGATTAAAATATATCATTTGCATCTACTTGTTATAAAAACACAAGTAATGCAAATTCTGATGCACTTATTCTGTTAAGGTAACATCTTGAAAAAATTTTGACCACATACAATAGGAGCAGAGATAAAAAGCTATTTTCAAACATTGAAATGTTGATACTGCATGTCGACACGACTCCATTTTATATTATAGGGAAATTTCGTAACTGGAGCAACAACTCAGAAGAAATACTTAACGAATATATAATAATAGTTTATGAATTCTCACAAGTATATGACATCATGTACTATTCTTAAAGTTATAAAATCCATCGTAGTTGTACCTTCTCAAAACCCATTTGTAAACTCTGAGATAAGAAAATATACAAAAAGAATGTAAGGCAATTTTTATCATATCCATTCTCTGGATCTCTGCCAAGCTACACACAATTCTCAATCTATTTTAGCACACAAACATAGCAACATGAGATGATCTGTACTTACTCGGTCCCCAACCTTCCTCTGTCGATATTCAGATTTCGTATTTCACAGAGTTAGAACCGCATGATGCGCAAGAAGACAACCTTACAATTGGACTGCACTATCCACATATACACAAGTTCAGAACATGTCTCCGGTGTATTGTACCAATTTGAAGAGAATACACTGCACAAGCAACGGACTTTCATTGTAAGAACCAGAGAACGGTCCCGCATAATCTACTAACTGTGAGAGTCACGCTACATACCAAGAGATACTTCCATCCGTCGCAACTGTAAGAAACTATCATCGCTGCAGTTTGATTTCGAATTGGCCAGTAGAGTACACTCATCCAGAGAGAAAACCTAGTGAATAATGTGGCCGAGTTCAAAATGTTGCCAACACATCCAACAAATGCCTCAGATTACTTCTAAATGCAAAGTCATACACAACCTTTAATACATTCTCAAACGAGAGAAAAAGATGCAGTTCTCCCTCAAATGCCAGGAACATGTAACGCTTGCCAACACCAAGACGAAACTTTCAAACCATCACGAAGCCGAAATAGTGACCAAATCGGAAAAAAATCCTTTTATTCATTATTACACACACTATAAGGGACGTTTAACAACATAGTAGGACGACCTACTGACCACCTCGGAGGCGGAGCACCAAGTGCAAGGTCGACTCCTTCTGGATGTTGTAATCGGCCAGGGTGCGACCATCCTCCAATTGTTTCCCTGCGAAGATCAACCTCTGCTGGTCCGGAGGAATCCCCTCCTTGTCCTGAATCTTCGTCTTCACGTTATCAATCGTGTCAGAGCTCTCCACCTCCAGGGTGATGGTCTTCCCTGTCAACGTCTTCACAAAAATTTGCATGCCTCCCCTCAACCTAAGAACCAAGTGCAAGGTCGACTCCTTCTGGATGTTGTAATCAGCCAAAGTGCGGCCGTCCTCCAATTGCTTCCCTGCGAAGATCAACCTCTGCTGGTCCGGAGGAATCCCCTCCTTGTCCTGAATCTTCGTCTTCACGTTATCAATCGTGTCAGAGCTCTCCACCTCCAGGGTGATGGTCTTCCCTGTCAACGTCTTCACAAAAATTTGCATGCCTCCCCTCAACCTAAGAACCAAGTGCAAGGTCGACTCCTTCTGGATGTTGTAATCAGCCAAAGTGCGGCCGTCCTCCAATTGCTTCCCTGCGAAGATCAACCTCTGCTGGTCCGGAGGAATCCCCTCCTTGTCCTGAATCTTCGTCTTCACGTTATCAATCGTGTCAGAGCTCTCCACCTCCAGGGTGATGGTCTTCCCTGTCAACGTCTTCACAAAAATTTGCATGCCTCCCCTCAACCTAAGAACCAAGTGCAAGGTCGACTCCTTCTGGATGTTGTAATCAGCCAAAGTGCGGCCGTCCTCCAATTGCTTCCCTGCGAAGATCAACCTCTGCTGGTCCGGAGGAATCCCCTCCTTGTCCTGAATCTTCGTCTTCACGTTATCAATCGTGTCAGAGCTCTCCACCTCCAGGGTGATGGTCTTCCCTGTCAACGTCTTCACAAATATCTGCATCTTGAACTAGAAGGCGAACTACTGCGTCTAATGCTGAAACCCCACAGTGTACTCACTTTAGAACTGAACCTCACACCTCCGGATGTTCAAAGTCCTATTTCTCGAAGAATGGATCCCGGAATGAATCAGCCAAGTTTGGGCTCGCAGATATATACACTCAAGTCGAAAGACGTTTGCTGTTCGCGAAGAAACCGAGAAAGAAGTTTCAACGAATGTCGTTGAATGAAAGGTTGGTTTTAGTCATCGAAGATGACACCGCAAGAAGGGATAATAGATGATGTTCTGAGGATGGAAGATGCTGAGTTGGAAGAGTCCAGAGGTTTCCTCGAAATACGTGTGTCTAAAGCAACATGGGAAGGAACCGCTTGTTGGAGGGAGCCTCTGAAGGACCTCATTGAGGACAGTTCCATGAAATCAAACTCAGCTCGTGTCCTCGTTGAGAAATTATTTTTTTTGTAAATAAAAAAAATCTAAAAATACCCAAAATAATTTTTTTTTAAACATTAATAATTAGTTAGAACATTTTTATGTGGAAAATTCAAAGAATTATATTTAAAATAAACATATGTAATTTAGAATGCAATCTTCTATTTATTTTCTTCTTTAATACATACCAAATTATTGGATGCTTTTACATTTATTGTAGTATGGATATTCGTTTTACTCAATTAAATATAAAATTTGAACATCTAAAGCTTAGAAGAATAATTTTAAATGATTGCTTTCTAAATTCTATAATTATCTATACATATTTGTAAGGATTTATTATTTGTTTTCTTCATAAAGAAGATTGTATGCTCTTCATAGATCTATTTTTCTATAGATCTTAGCTTGATTCAACTGATCAAGGAGTCTAGATATCAAAAGTAGCAGATACCTGTTCTTAATAGTGATTTTGTTGAGTCCTCGATAATCGACACACATCCACAATGATCCATCTTTTTTCTTCACAAATAAAATTGGAGCACTTGTTGGAGATTTGAAATTGTTAGAGACATAGTCCTTAGAACCTTCTAGAAACAAGTCTCTGGAACCTTCTAGAACTTTCCTAGTTGGTGGAAGTTGCTTGAGAAGCTTCCTAGTTGGTGGAAGTTGCTTGAGAAGCTTCCTAGTTGGTAGAAGTTGCTTGAGAAGCTTCCTAAATAGGAGTATATACTGGAATCGAGATTGAATAGTTCTTTAGTCTCGACAACACATCTCTTGGAGCTCTAGTTCATCTCTCTGGTATTGTTCTTGTATTCATCTGATTAATCTAGTTCTTGCCAGTTCTTCTTGAACTTTTTGTTAGATCTGGAGCCTGTATTTCTGTGTCCATGACAGAAATGGCATATGAAGTTCTTAGCCAAATTTTCTTCAATATACTCCTTAAATTCAGCCAACTCATTTTGAGATAAATTGTAGATTGGTCCAAATGGTGATTGTGCTCTTTCTTAAAGGTCAATTGAGTTGTCATAGGAATGATGTTCTGGAAGAATATTCGCATTCTTTTTTCAAACACATCTTGAAAATCTTAATATTGGCTTGGAATGCCACTTGAAGTCTTTCCACCAGTAGAAACAGGTGTGGCATAAATGAGACAAGGTGATCCTTCTTTTGCAACATACAAGAAAGCTCTTGCACCTATAAATATAGGTTTAATTATACTAGACTTATGAATTTTTACTTGATTAATTACACTCTTAATTATACTTTCAGAAAAGTCAAGACTACGAGAAGTCCAATCTATTTTAGGATTATATTTTTCTAGCCATGATAAATCTAAAATGATTGGATTAGAAGGAGATCTAATGATATTAAATATATCACATACATAATCATGTAAGCTAGTAATTATATATACAAATAGGTAGAAGTAAGTAAAAGTAGGTAAAAGTAAGTTAATTCTATAATATTTAATGTAGAAGCTTCTTAGAAGCTTCATAGATGCTGCTTTGACTTCATAGGTGTCTTTAATTGACTTTTTGGATTAGAAACGTGGTCAAAAAGTTGGCCATGTGCCACACATGTTGTTAGCTTGAAGATCAAGCTAACTATGTGGCCTACACGTAGAAAAACTTACCTTGTAAGTCAAGGCATGTGTCCTACAAAGTCAACACATATTGATGGTCCTATAGAACATTGCCATGTAGCTCCTAGTTAGATAGTATATATAGAGACAAGAGTGAAGGCTTCTTCACTCTTGTCAACTCCTTTCTTACTTCTAGTCTAGTTTCAAGGGTCTCTAGTTTTCTTGTCTTTTGGCAATAGCCATTCCAGTTTCTCTTTCAATATATATCCTTATTTATATATTATTTGTTATCTCTCTTTGAGTAAAGGCTCACTTGTCTGAATTATTTTTTCATCGAGTTCTTGTCCTTGACAGATTGATAAGAGTATACCTACAATATCAGAGCTTTGTCTAATCTTGATTAAGAGTGGATTACCCCTTTTTCTTAATAAGATATAATCATATTAGAAGTTGTGGATTACCCTCTTTTAAACTGATATTGTCCTTAGTATCTTCTTTATTCTCAAGTCTTGTCTTCTATTTGTCTTGAGCGATATTAGACATCTTCTTTCTTCTAAGTATTATCATGGCAGAACTTGTTGAAATGAAGAGTGCAATGGCACAAATGCAAAAACAATTGAGGGAGTTAATGCTTGTGATGCATCAAATCAATTTACCACCACAAGGAGCAACAAGATTGGCAGGAAGTGAAGATATAGAAATGGTTGGAGCTGCTTCAACATCTACACCAAACCATGTCCTTTCTCCTATGGTGGAACGCCCTTCAAATATTAGAGAACCAAGAATTATCCTATCCAAGATGATTGATGGCACCAGATCCAAGTTTTGAGGATTTATCAATCAAGTGCAACTTGTGATTGAACTTCAACTCAAAGATATCCAACTCCAGGATCGCAAGTTAGATTCATTGATACGCTTCTTTCAAGTTCAGCACTATCGTGGTTTTCATCTTTTCTTGAACGACGAGATCCAATATTGAATAATTTAGAGGCTTTTCTAGTAGAGTTTTGATCCATGTATGGAGAACATGATACAATTTGTGTTGCAACCAATAAGATCCATATTTTACGACAAGGCAATCGATCAGTAACGTTATATGCTTCACAATTTTGACAACTTGCAACTGATATCAAGTGGGATGATGTTGCACTTATTAGCCAATTTCTCTACGGATTACAATATGAGGTAAAAAAATTAATGCTCAACTTACCTGATCCTCAACCATTGAGTCAAGCAATTGACTTTGCTGTGAAGTGCGACAATTGCCTTTTTAAATTTCGATCTGAGAACCGTACAAGTGGATCTTAACGTTACTATAATTCAATGGCAACACCAACACCTCTTCAACACATATATTTGGAAGTAGAGGATATGCAAATTGATGCAGTATGTTTCAAACTTCTTATTGAGTAAGAAAAGACTCGTCATCGTCAAGAAGGATTATGTTTAGATTGAGGAGAACCAAAGCACACTGCTCAACATTGTCCAAAGACATGACGCAATCACAAAATGAGGAGTATAGCTGTGAAAGAAGACAATATGTCGGAAAACGAGTTTGTCCAACTACAATAGGGACCGTGCGGCTCGAACCTTGCACGACATTTAGTAAAGGTCCTATTCTCTCCTCAGAGCCCTCTCTAGTTTTACATTAAATGTTATTTTAGGACCTAAATATTACAAAGTCTCTGCCTTATTAGATTCAGGAGCCTCAGCGTATTTTTTAGATGAAGAATTTACTAAAAGACATAGCATATCTTTAGTAAAGAAAACTAAACCTGTTCATGTAGAAGTCATAGATGGTCGTCCATTTTCTTTTAGAGATATTACTCACGAAACCCTTCCTATAGAAGTAATAATCAATGGTCATAATAATTTTGTAGTTTTTAATATCATTAGATCTCCCTCTAATCCAGTTATTTTAGGTTTATCGTGGTTAGAAAAATACAACCCTCAAATAGATTGGATTTCCCGAACTCTTACTTTCTCTAAAAGTATAACTAACAATGTACTTAATCAAGTAAAGAGTCATAAGTCCAGTTCAATTAAACCAATATTTATAAGTGCAAAAGCTTTCTTGCATGTTGCTATGAAAGAATCACCATATATTATTTATGCCACACTCATTTCTACTAGTGAAAAGACTTTAAGTGGCATTCCAAGCCCATATCAAGAATTTTAAGATGTATTTGAAAAAAGAATGTGGATACACTCCTGGAACATCGTTCCTATGATTGCTCAATTGACCTTCAAGAAGGAGCACAACAGCCATTCGGACCAATCTACAGTTTATCACAAAATGAGTTGGCTGAACTCAAGGAGTATATTGAAGAAAATCTAACCAAGAATTTCATATGCCATTCTAAAACTCTAGAAGGAGCTCCAATTCAATTTGTGAAGAAAAAAGATGGATCATTACAGATGTGTGTTGATTATCGAGGACTCAACAAGATTACCATCAAGAACATGTATCTACTACCTTTAATATCTGGACTTCTTGATCAGCTGAATCAAGCTAAGATCTATACAAAAATAGATCTTCGGGGAGCATACAATCTAGTATGCATCAAAGAAGGAGATGAATAGAAGACTGCGTTTCGAACTAGGTATGGATATTTTGAATACAATATGATGCCTTTTGGACTTACAAATGCACTAATAGCTTTTTAACATCTAATGAATGATGTTTTTTGAGAGTTTTTGGACGATTTTGTGGTCTGTTATCTAGACAACATCTTGATCTATTCTAAGAATCGAGAAGAACATGAACTTCATGTTCAATGTGTGTTACAAAAATTAAGAGATGCAGGACTCTATGCCAAGATAGAAAAGTGTGTATTCCACACTACTCAAGTCGATTTCTTAGGTTACATCATTTCAAATGATGGACTTATAATGGATCGTAAGAAAGTTCAAACTATTATAGACTGGAAGATCCCAAAAACGGTAAGAGATGTTCAATATTTTTTGGGATTTGCCAACTACTATCGGATCTTCATCAAAGACTTCTCTCGAGTTGGAGCTCCACTTACACGTTTGACTTGTAAAGAGAAACTCCAATGGAATCAAGATGCGGAAGTTGCTTTTGAATCTTTGAAGACAGTGTTTGTTTTTGTACCAATCTGGT